TTTTTTTTTTTTTTTTGGCTCTCTTTTCCTGAGGACCGACAGGCCTGATTCCATTTTTACCTGGTTCCTGAATAAATATTTTTAAAATCTATTAGAAAGAATATGACAGAAAGTTTAATTCCTAGAATTTAGGTATGAAATAGGAATCTATAAACTAAAAATCGTCTTGCTCCTATGGGGAATAAACACCAAAAAAACCTAAGAGGAAACCTTTCAAGGAATAAGGAGCACATGGTATGGAACCAGAAGAGATGGTTTCAAGTCATCATTCTTTAAAACTACAGTGTACTTTCTAAACATTTTCTAGAATGTCTCTTAAGACAGAGATAATAAATGCTAATAATGGCCCCATTGTGAGAATCAAATGATAGAATGTACGTGGAAAATGTAAAGTACCTTAGAAATAGTTGTTGCATCAAAAAGTTGCGAATAAAAGTGCAATGACCTCATAGGAACTTTTAATAATTAGGAACTTGCTGAGTAGTAGAAAAGTCAGCATTCATTGACTTTGTTTTTGTGCCAATACCGTAGGCTAATTCAGCATTAAAGCACAATTTCCCTTCCTTTGAAGTAGAGCAAAGCTAATTTGGCTATCCTGAGGAAGTTATTTGGCATATTCATGTAGAAAAAGGCCCGTCCCTTCCTTCCTTCTTACCCTTATCCCAAACACTGTAGTGTACGCGTGTACAAATTGAGCACTATTCCAAGAGCATCTGGCATTAATACAGAAGCTCGTGTTTTCAAAACATCTCACAACCATCAAGACATCTTAGCCTTTAAAAAACTCTATTAAAAATGTAATACTACATATATACCGATAACAAATGATGAATATGAGCCACATCGAGCACCTCTTGTAATTACAGAAGTGAAATGTAAGTTGAGTATTACAAATTTAATGTAGTTTTTTTTTTTTATTTCTTAAAATGTGTATACATTTTGGTACCCTCTGCATATGGGTGTACATATACATATACATCGATGCTTTGATGTATATATGTGTATATGACAGATGTCTATGTGATAGGTATATACATTTTGTTGCCGAAAGGGGCCAGACTTTTTAACATGAAAAAATCTTTAATTTATCCAACTGTGTAGGTGGAAACGCTCACGCTTTCAATATGAGCTTTAAATTGCTCACATGACCAAAATTTTCTATGTGTATAGAAAGAGAAACAGATAGATAGCTGATCATTTTAATTACAAGGACCCTCCTGGGGAACAGAGAATTGGTTCTCATTGCACATTGAAGCCGAAGTTTAATCAATACTGGGACATTTTCCTTTGCACTGACAATGCCTGTCATCAGGATTTGCGTCAGTACTTTTCTGGTTGAATAATGTTTCACAACTTAAGTTTATAATTTATAGGTGGACTCCTTCCCAGCACAGGTGCTTTTTTTTTTTTTTTTTTTTTTTTTTTTTAGACAGAGTCTCACTCTCGTCCCCCAGGACAGAATGCCATGGCGTCCATCTAGCTCACAGCAACCTCCAACGCTTGGGCTCAAGTGATCCTCTTGCCTCAGCTTCCCAAGTAGCTGGGACTACAGGCACCCACCACGATGCCTGACTCGTTTTTTATAGTTTTGGTAGAGACAGGATCTCATTCTTGCACAGGCTAGTCTCCAACTTCTGAGCTCAATCAATCCACCCACCTAGGCCTCCCAGAGTGCTGGGATTACAAACTCCCAGCCACGCAGTAGCTTGTTTGGTGGTGCTCCTTAAAATTCTCTTCTCTTGAAGTTTTCAGAGTGTTCCAAAAGTTTCAGACCCTAATACCCAACCGCCTGGGAATTGTGTTTGTTCCCATCAAAGGTACTCACACTTGATTTGTCTAAAGCCAAACTTTTTAGCTGCCATTTTCATATGTCCTCCTCAACATCTCCACTAACAAACAGATTCAAACCATCCAGACCTGGTCCCCTTGCAGGGGTCCTCCCCTCCTGAGCAGCCCCTTATTTTCCTGCATTAGCAGGAAATCTAAGATTCCTTTATTCTTCCTTTACCGACCAGGTTCAACCATCGCTAGGTTCTATCAGCTTAATGTCTAGATAGCTTTGAATCTTGGACATTTCTATCTTTATCTTTATCATTACCAAATTGTCCAGTATTACAGCTGTTATTCATAAAATATAAAACAGGGCTTTTAAATTCATTTCCCTACTTAGACTTTTGCTATCCTCTAATGAATACACCCAGCATGATCTTTGTAAAATCAGATCTGATTGTGTGACCTCACCTCACTGGTTAGGTCAAAACCTCACTATTACTCCTATTCTACGGGTCAGATTTCTTAGTGTGGCTGAGAAATACATGATTTCATTATTTTTATTTTTTAACAAAATACAATATTTTAATTTTAATTTTTTAAGTGTCCATTTCCATCCTTGACTCACCATTGTATCCACAGTGCCTGGTACTTGAAGTGCATAAGTATTTTTAAGTAACGAGTAACCGAAGTAATTAATAAGATGTAAATTATTTCTTCACATCATTTTATTTTATTTTATTTTGAAAAGTAAATTTATTTCAGGTTAACGAGAGGGTACAACCAGGTCAAAATATTTGATTTTGTTATGTAGAGTCCCTCTCACATTTACACGCAAAAGTGTGCCAGATACACATCATTCTATATTGAAAGCATTTTCCAGGGCAGTGCCTGTGGCTCAAGGATTAGGGTGCCAGCCCCATATACTGTGGGTAGTGGCGGGTTCCAGTCCAGCCCCAGCCAAAAACTGCAAAAAAGTAATAATAATAAAATAAAAGCATTTTCTATTGCTTTAATATAATCTCTATGACCATTACCTTGTTACATTTTTTGAATTGTACATATAAGGCACAATTTCATCCTAATTGTAAAAGCACCAAACATTGGGCTAGGCTAGGGGTGGTGACTCACCCCTGTAATCCCAGAAGTTTTTAGAGGCTCGAGACTAGCCTGAGATTCCCTGTTTCTACCAAAAACTAGAAAACCTTAGCAGGCTGCAGTGGCATGTGCCTGTAGCTACTCAGACTGAAGCAGGATGATCACTTGAGCCCAGGAGTTCGAGGTTGTAGTGAGTTGCAATTGCATTGCTGCCCTCCAAACTGGGCAACAGAATGAGACCCCATAACATAACATGAAAAGATTCCTCATGTAAATATTTATTTTACTTGTTTTATAAGTTGAAAACACTCTGAACAGTTACGGTATATTCCTTCACCTCGTTTTCTGGTTGTATATATTAATCTCCCTGTTCATTTTAACGGTTGCTTAATAATCCGTAGTGTGTATGCCATCACCTTATTACACATTTTCACTTCTGATCACATTTGAGATTTTATTCAACTTTTCTGACATTACAAATAGGTCCATGTACCGCATATAATATACGTCTAAAACATATATATGACACTATCACTCTTTACTAAAAGGTGTATTCACGTAAGGGTCCTAATAACAACATATGAGTACTCTATTTTCCAGACATATTTTTCTTAACACCAAAAGTTATCAATCTTTTTTTCTTTTTTAATTGAGGAATAATGTAAATAGAGGTGGGTCCACAAGGCATGATTATGAATATTACAAAACACAGCCGTCTGACCATCACCAAGATCCAAAAAGAAAACCTTGTTACGTTCCTAGCCACGCAGAAGCCCTCGCTGTCTCTGAGTCATGATTTCCTTTTTCCTCAGCACAGGTAGATTAAATCTGAGCAGAGATGAGTCTGTTTTGTTTTTAAGCTTTATAAAAATGGACAATATTTCTTTTGATTCTGGCTTCCTAACTCACCATTTATTTGGACAATCCGTATAGCTTTTGTATGAGCTCTCGTATGAACTTTTAACATTAATTTTCATGACTTTCTATGGAAATTTCTTTTTCTGCGTGTCATGTTTTTAATTTTTATTTCTCTACTATAAACGAGATGGGTCCCTTGGTATATGTTGATTGACCATTTAGATAATGCAATTTATGCCGGCTAAAGCTCCTGGCTTATTTTCAAGTAGGTCTTCCCCTATGGATGTGGAGGAGCCGGTTATGTATTCTTTCTATAAGTCCTCTGTTTCTGATATATTTTACTGGTCTTTTCTTAATTGATGCTTTTTTTCTTTCAGGGGTTTCTTCTGATAAGTATATGCTTTTAACTTTAATGCAATTCACTTCCTTAAGCTTCTATCATTCTAAATAATGCTCTTAATCTATTACTCTAACCAACATAACAAAGTTCATTTCCTATGTTAGCTTCTAAAAGTTGTAGTACTTTCCTTTTAACATTGAGCACTGTTATCTACCTGGAATCAATTTTGTGCATATTAGAAGATGTAGATCATTTTTTTAAACTTATGTATAGTCAGTCAACGTACACTGATTTTTGAAAACATTCAACTTTTGAGACTGTTTGATAATGCTACGTTTATCATAAACCAAGTCTCTATAAACATCGTATGCATAGTTCTACTTCTGGACTCTGTTCTGCTCGTTTGCTCTTTTTCTCTATTTTTGTGTCATTACGGTCAATGGCGAACTTTACCTGAGTTCTGTCGTCCTGGAAAACAGGGGTAGTTAAAGAAATCTCTCATATTTCTCCTAGGAAACTGCTTATTGCAAAGAACTGCACTTCCTCATATTACTTAGATAATAATAACACTCATAGGAACCCCTTCCCACCAGTTGGACTTGACCGCTTAGCCTGAATTCACCTGATACTTGAGATCTTCCTCTGTGATAGTTAACTCCATTTATACAAAGAAAAAAAATAAAACTTCTCATATTTCTATGTCAAAAGGTGGTTACAACTTGCAGCCAAGTGTCTAAGCTATATTCTCTTGAAACTGGGAGAGAGCTTTGCTGTCTTTCTTGATATTTCCATTTAAAAGAATTGGGAAAAAGAAAACTTAAGAAAGACGTTCCTGGTTTGTAAAACTGGCAAGAGGCTTATTTAGCTTTCAGAAGATTTACGTTGTACTTACTGGGTCTCCAAGAGATAGGAAAAATTTACAAGTTCTCTAAGAAAAGGGAGGTGAGGCAAATCTCTTTCCCTTCTGCACCATGGAAAAGTCAGGTCCTTTAACTCCGCTTTTCCCTTGCAAATTCTTGCATTTCTGCAAGACCTGCTGTCTCCCAATTCTTATCTTCTGTTTCATAGATGATTAAACTGTTTGTGCCCATTGAGCCATTGATCCATCAGAACAAAGTGGTTGTCAGCTTACCTGACCACGTATAACAGCTTCCTCCTTAACACAAAGAAAAATCATCTCTGAACCTTGTTTACTTACTTTTCTGCCTGATTTTTCAGATGTTTGCATATCTCCTGATGGAGACATTCTTCCTAGTTCAAAATTTCTTTCTCCCTTTTCACATAAAGTCTTTTCTTATCTAAACCCAGGTTTGTGTCTATTTGACAATGCCACACTTTACTTATGATGGTAGTTTTATAATACCTCTTAATGCTGATAGAGTAAATTTTTCTACTTTGTGAACACCCCAAGACAGAGTTCTGTCTGGGGGTGAATCTTTCCTAAGGAAATAATCCAAAAAATGTAAAGTAGTTAATATTTACCATATTCTTTATAAAACTTGAAACTACCTTGCATAAATTAGGATTTATTTACCAAGATAGAATATTGAGCTGTCCTTCAAACGAAAGACCAGATCAGAGAATAATGATTCCAAGGCAACCACTATTCCAATCGGCAACTCCTTAAATTACGAAACATGTAAGGGAAGGGGTGTGGATCTATCTAAAACAATGATAAAAAGACCAAATTCAACAATGCTGAAAAGTTGCTGGAGGACAAAAAAGAAGATGAAATTGAGTTGACAGAAATACAAGAGCAGCGGATACCGAAGCCCAAATTATACGCAGGAAAAAAACTGATAGGAAGATACGAGTGATTGCCAAGATCGTGGAGATAAAATATTGAGTCAATAAGTTGAGATACTAGGAAAAGGCCTTTGAAATCTTGAGAGATTAATCAAAGAAATATTCACAAGAGCTTGGCTACTTATCCGTTCCTCCAATGGAACTATTTGCAGTGATAGTAGAGTCCAAATTGAAGCCCTGAGATAATAGGAATCTGGCACAAGGGACTCACAGAGGAAAAGAGAAGCCAAATTAATACAAACTCTAACCATCCCACTTTCTGTGTCTTGTCCCACACAACACAGGAGGCTTTGGTCTATAATCAGAACCTGTGTCAACGTTCAGACAGAGTGGACATTGTTAAATTGTGATTGAAAGAGAAATGTAGAAAACATAAAGCCTGCACTGTGATAACGTCTCTTTGTACTTTTCTTTGGTAGGTATACTATATTCTCTCAAGGTGCCCTTATGGTATAGAGGACGGGAAGAAAAAGTTTGGGATTGAGAGACTCCTCAACTCTAACACGTATTTAGCAGCCTACCCACTCCATGATGTGAGTATAAGGGGGATTTTCAAGTACTGACTCTGTTTTCTCTCTCCCACATTCAGAGGTTGCCTTCTTAGGAGGGAGGATCTTCCCACTCGTTTCCCTTTTTATTACAAATTGCTTAATTCTCTCTCATGACAAGAAATCCCAAAGACTCCCTGGTTCCAAGCTGATAACTTTATCAGCTATGCTGAAATATAGTTAATGTCTCTTGACATTGAAGTTTCAAATAGAAATCATTAAACAAATTATTAAATTTACAAATCAACTTTCTTTATAGCTCATTTTGAAAACAGTAGTCACATTAAAAGAACATTTCGTTGATTTATCTAGTTATTTAATGGGAGGGGTCCTGTGACACAGGACTTTATAGCATGAGTAACCTATTCTCTCTTTCTTTTTCTTTTTTTTAGTTTTTTGAACCAGGTTACATTGATTTCATTTGTTAGATAAGGTCCCTCTTACAAGTGTGTTCCGCCCCAAAGAACATTTTAAAATATAGTATTCAGAAATTTTTTATCTGAACTCGTCAGTTTTTTTTTTTTTTCCTTTTTTTTTTTGGCCGGGGCTGGGTTTGAACCCACCACCTCTGACATATGGGTCCAGCGCCTTACTCTTTGAGCCACACGCGCTGCCCAACTCATCAGTTCTTTTCTCATTTATAAACTGCTGAAGCTATAAAGGATTTAAATTACATGCATTTAGGTATTTATTCATCAAACACATAATTTGCTTTGATCATTACATGCAAACCATTTTTTTTAGGTATTGGAACATAATCATGAATCCAAGCTCACCATCTAGGGTTTTCTTAGAAATAAAGCATGTGTACAATTGCAATGTGAACTGAAGTCTTCAGTTTTTAACAGCAAATCAGATGTTATAACAACTGAGATTCAGAACGTTTCTTTGGGGCTAGGAAATCATTGTACAATATTGAGCTTTGTAACCTTAACAAAGAGACGACATTTTACATGCTTTAATTCAACTAAAACTGCAAAGTTGGCCTGGCAACACAGGCCTCGTTTCTGGGGCTTTCTGAGGTAAACCTTCTAACTTGGATAGCCAGTGTTTAAATCTCACCACCTGTTGGCAGTATAAGTCATGTGGCCTAACTTATATATACTATTTTGAGATCATCCCTTGGAATTTTTCTTTCTTTTACTCCCATTTTACTCTTGCATACTTATAAAAGACTTTTTTAATGATGTATTCTTTTTGCAAGAAACACAGTTCCCAGGAATATAAAAGAAAATGAATATTTCCACTGAAACAAATGACAGTCAAATCATTGACCATTTTTCTGAAGGTAGCATTGCTGGAATAGTTCCAAAAGCCCAAAGCCAACCTCTTTTTTTTCGAGGGCAAACTATTACGGCACCATTCTTCTGCAAATATTGAATCAACATCATAAAAGTTGGCTCCAGTCAGTTCAAAACTGATTAGCTCGTTATTTTTAATGCGTTTCCTATAAGGGTAGAGTGGTCTTTTCCAGAGTAGCCATAATACTAATCTTCCATCGTATTGCCAGTTTGGGTTAGTTTAAGTGCTAGAGAAACCAAACAACCCCCTTCCTTCTCCCCAAACCCCACTTCCCAACACATACAGTTAGTATCTGCAGGGGATTGATTTCAAACCACTTTCCCCACCTGTGGATACCAAAATCCCAAAATGCTCCAGTTACTTATTTGAAATATGTATTTGCATTGAACCTCTCCTGTACTTTAAATCGTCTTTAGATTACTTATAATATCTAACACAATGTACATGCTATGTAGTTATTATCCTGTTCTTTTAAGTGTATATTTTTATTGTTGTCTTGTTATGTGTAACTGGTTTTTCCCCATGTATTTTGGATCCACTGTTGGTTGACTCTGGGGATGTGGGACCCTTAGAGACAGAAAGCTCACCTTATGCATTGTATTCCCTGGGGGAAGAAAAGCTCCTGGAGGATTACAGATCCTGAACAATGGCGTGAGCGTTTGGTAAAGTAGAGACAACTAAAGTAGATGAGCAAACACGTTGCCATGTATCCTTTGTCAGTCTTCCTGAAAGGACTCATGAATTTTTTTGGAAAACTGAGAGGAATCTTTTGCTTGTTTATTCATTTTTAGGGCATTAATTCTGTTCTTACTATGCCATATCTTAAAGCCAAACTAATATCCTTACTTAGCAGCATTTTTTTTTTTAATTCCAGGTTTTCTTATTTTCCCCTTTTACACAAACCAAAGTAGAAGAAATAATACAGGATTAAAACTGCCAATGTAGAAGAATTAGTAGAACACGTATACACAAAAACATGCACAGGAAGATGGGCTTATTTACAGTGAGGAAGCAAATGTAAAGTTAAGTTAAACGTTTCATGTGTAGACAAATGAACTGCTAAAAACAACAAGAGATGACTGTCCAGTTTACAATTGAGCATATAATAAGAGCTCTAAATAGTTAACATGTAAGATTGTATATCAACCAGTTTGTACCATTTTTCTGCTTCTGTAGCTAATCCTACTGAAACGTTTCCCATGAAATGTTAAAAAAAAAAAAATCAAGCATGTGCTACACTGGGTACCACCATTTACAGCAGCATTGAAAGGGGAGCTAACAGGCAATAGGAACAGATATACCACGAGGGACAGAATTCATAGCATCAGTGCAATACATTCTCAAAACTATATTACAGCTAATCAGTTTAAGACTTCTTCCCAAATGTGTCACATTTTGGGGCCCTCAGAGGTTCATTCCTACAGATGTCAACTACTCTAAATTTCTAGCTACTAGGAAGGAAAGAGTGATTATAAGCTTTCCAAGGAGTTACGGAATCTAAGTAGACCAGAGGCCAACTATCATTACCTCAAATCTGCTCTTACATTTTTCAGAGAAATATCTGGTGACTTCACCAGTGTAGTCACTACCTCCTACACCAAACCTACAGGGACTGAAATGGCCAGGTAATTACAATAAGATGAGAAGTTTGAGGATTACCTTTCAAGGTGTATTCTCGTCTCAAAAATTAATCAGATAAGATTATTTCCTATTGAACTGAATCTGAACTAAACATAGAAGGCTTCTGGCCTTGACTGGAGGATGGTCTTGGAGTAAAGGTCATAGATATGAGTCTTAACCTATGGTATGTTATGCTAAATTTAAAGTATGCTAAGTAGAATCCCTTTTAACCCCAGCCTTTCAGTGGCGTCATTCAGGCTAACCAGAAATTCAATATTACCGAGCTATCACTGGTGATAGTCACAACTGAATGTTAATTTTACCTTTTTCTTTCTTTTCTTCTGAATGCAAGTTTAGGTACTAGATTTTTCCTTTTGTGCTGTGCAGAATCAATTTTACAATATGCCTGTATAGGGTGTTCTTTCCTTTTTTAAAATTCTATTTCTCAAGTTCAGTAGGATAGCTACAGAAGCAGAAATATCGTACAAACTGGATGATATACAATCTTACATGTGACCATTTAGAGCTCTTCTTATGTGCTAAGTTGTAAACTGGACAGTCACCTCTTGTTTTTAGCAGTTCATTTGTCTACACAGTTTTTAAAAATGTATTAAACGGCTACTATGTATAGAATACTTCGGTAGGCTGTGAAGAGACATTGTAAAGCCACTCGGCATTTAACAATGGGGAAGGAATTTATGTCAGAAACAGTACTGAGGCTCTTACGTGCTAAAGCGTGTCATAACCTTTTAAGTTCTTTGGCAAATCGTTACCAGTGAGGACCAGAATCTCTTCCCGTAATAGCGGTATGACTGTGGATCAATTACTTCATTTTGCTTGTGATTTAAGTTTTCCATTTATAAAATAAAATTGTCAGCTTATTCCCAAAACTCCTAGCCAGTTGTAGAGGGATACGAATCTCTGAGCTGTGATGATGATGTCCTAATTTGAGTAGGGAAGAAAGGGCATTCTGGGTGACGTGAACAGCTCAAGTAAAGCCTAAGCCTCACACCTTAATTTGTATTTTTAGATAAGTGGGTGTAAGAATTTAACCAATAAACCACTATTGTTACTTGCTCTTAATATTAAAAAAAAACAACACTATTGTGATAGTTTATTATAGGTTTTAGTAACTAATTTTATACCAATGGAATAGGAAATCTAAACCTAAAAGTAAACGAGAGCGTTAGCCCTGTTCACTTAGGAGCTTGTTATAAAAGCAACACTAATTTACTTCCCCTTGTCTTCTGCTTTTCTGTTTTGCTCCCTCATCTTGAATATCTCCAGGGCCAATATTGGAAGCCATCAGAACCTCCCAATCCTGTGAATGAAAGGTACATACTTTACCAGAATTGGGCTCGATTTTCCTATTTTTACAAGGAGCAACCTTTAGATTTGATTAGGTAAGTTTCTTACACAGCATCAGTTAAAACTTGATGATGTGATTTTTATTCACATGGCATGATACTCTATTTTTTTTCTACCATTTTCACACACTGCATTTCACAGCTTTTTGGCTTCATATCTACACTATAGCTTAGTCATTCATTTGGGAGCTGAATGTTTTTGCCAAAGTATGGGAGAGATAATTGGAATGAATGACACAGTGGTTAAGAGGCTGGGCCCAGGCGTTGGCCATGCTGGATTCAAACCTAAAGTCTGCTTGTTAAAATTGGTCAAGCTGGCTTGGTGCCTATGGCTCAAGTGGCTAAGGCGCCAGCCACATACATCTAAGGTGGCAAGTTCGAATCCAGCC